CCTCCCTCCCTCCCTCTCTCTCTCTCTCACATCTATCTCTTCTCTCCCTCTCCCTCTCCTTCTCCCTCCCTCCCTCCCTCTCACATCTATCTCTTCTCCCTCCCTCCCTCCTTCTCTTTCACATCTCTCTTCTCTCCCTCTCCCTCTCCTTCCCTCCATCCTCTCTCACACCTATCTCTTCTCTCTCTCTCCCTTTCCCTTTCCCTTTCCCTCTTCCTCTCCCTTTCCCTCTCCCTCCCTCTCTCCCTCCCTCCCTCCTTCCCTCTCTCTCTCTCTCTCCCTCCATCCTTCCTTCCCTCTCTCTCTCCCTCCCTTCCTCCCTCCCTCCTTCTCTCTCTCTCTCTCTCTCTCTCTCTGATTTATAAGCTCCCTTCACCATCCTCCCTCTATTTGCAGAGAGCCATTGCTATCCTGGAGATAGAGAGAAACTGGATGTGGTGCTGGAAGAAGACCCACAGAGCCGGCTGTTTCCTCTCCATCGGCTCCGAGGAGAAGAAAGACCAACGGTGGTTTTTCCGGTAAGCTTAACCACGCGCCCGCTTGGGGTACAAAACGCGGCTGTTTCAGAAACGGACCTTCCCTTGCCTCTCTCGAGCACAAAAAAGGGTGCAGGAGGCCCAGTGAGACTCGCAAGAGTCCGCGACTGCTACGTATAACTCTGGGGGTCTTTTTCTAGAGTCGAAGAGGTAAACTGGGAAGACTGGAACGAGAAACTCGATGCCCTCAGAGAAGACCCCGCAGGAGTCAACCTTCTGGAGAAGGATTTCTCGCCAGGTAAGACAGGTGCCACAGGGGGTGCCAGGAGCTGGTGCCCACAGGTCTCTGTTACTTTCTAAGCTGTGGGTTGGGTTTTGCCTTGAAGTGAAAGAAGAGTGCAGTGGTGGTGAACCTATGGCAAGGCTTTTCAACCAGTGGTAGGGGTGCCACCTGTGGTACATTGGCACCTGGCAGGTGGTACGCGAACATCCTAGAAAAGTGGTAGCGGGGGAGGGGAATGAGCTGAACCGGTGGCAGCACCGCACAAGCCTGAGCGAGAGATGGCTGGAGCTGCAGGGCGGTCAGGGCTCGGAGGAAGCACCAGGATCAGTGCCGCTTTCCAGCTGATCGGCGCTTCTTCGGGGCTGTCAGGGCTCAGCGGAAGAACCAGGATCAGCGCCAGGCTCCAACTGGGCTCAGCGGAAGCGCCAGGATCACCGCCAGGCTCCAGTTGGAGCTCGGCACTGATCCTGGTGCTTCTGCTGAGCCCAGAAGAAGCGCCGATCAGCTGGAATGTTGCAGCCTCTCCAGGGTCTTGTGATTTACATTCAGATGCTTGGCAACTGATTCATATTTATGACGGTCACAGTGTCCCAGGGTCGTGTGAAGTGACCAAAACCTGCTGCAACCACCCAGCAGACGGAGGGGGGGGAATAAAAACCAAACACCCCCCCACCCCGCTGCCAATCCTCAACAGAAATGCTCACAACAATGAAAACCTCAGACAGGAGGAAGAGTGCCGCCAGGTGGACAGGCAGGTACCTTGCTCGGCTGTGGCTTGGGGGGCACTTTTTCAGTGCCATTGTAACAGTCACTAAGCGAACTGTTGTAAGTCGAGGACTACCTGTACTTTATCACTTTTTTTCTTTTTTTTTTGGTCATCAAGTTTTGGACACCTTGCTAGGCGACTGGTGATACTCGGATGTTGCCATGTCCTAAAAGTGTTACAATGGGTGAAAAGGTTGAAAAGCCCTGACCTATGGCACACGTGCCAGAGGCGGCACACGGAGTCCTCTCTGTGGGCACACGCGCCATCGCCCCAGCACACGTGGTCTCTAAAAGTTCGCCATCACTGGCCTAAGGCCAGCCAGCCTGGAGCCGCCACTGGGGAGCCCACCATCCCACCCGCCAGAGACCCCCTGGATCCCCCCCAACCCTGCCCGGCTCCCACAGGTGTCCCTCCCCATAAGCAACATCGAGGTGGCCACGCCCACCCCGGCCACGCCCACCCAATCTGCCATGACTACTGCAGCCACGCCCCTCCAGTGGCCACGCCCACCCAGTCTGCCAAGCCCACTGTAGCTGCGCCTGCCCAGTGGGCCACACTCACCCGGCACCCGGCGATACATAAGTGGGTTTTGGGTTGCAGTTTGGGCACTCGGTCTCTAAAAGGTTCGCCGTCACTGGGATAGTGTTGTCGCAGAAAACTAGTTCTGCCTGGCATGCAACGCTGAATAAACCACACACCAATGTGGAAATTTACAAAAGCTTTACTCTGCCCACAAGAAAGGACACAGGAACAGCTCGCCCCAGAAATCGTGGGCGCCCCATCACTGGAGATTTTTCAGAAGAGGCTAGACACTCACCTGTCTGAGATGGTATAGGTTCTCCTGTTCGAGCAGGGGGCTGGACTAGAAGACCTCCCGGGTCCCTTCCAGCTCTATTCTATTCAGGGGGATAACAATCACAGTTGGAAGAGACCTTGGAGATCATCTAGTCCAACCCCCTGCTCAGGCAGGAAACCCTATACCATTTCGGACAAATGGCTGTCCAGTCTCTTCTTAAAAACTTCCAGTGTTGGAGCATTCACCGCTTCTGGAGGCAAGGAGTTCCACTGGTTAATTGTTCTAACTGTCAGGAAGTTTCTCCTTAGTTCCAGGTTGCTTCTCTCCTTGATGAGTTTCCATCCGTTGCTTCTTGTCCTGCCTTCAGGGGCTTTGGAAAATAGCTTGACTAGCTATAGTTCCCCCATGCTGGCTCAGGAATTCTGGGAGTTGAAGTCCACCAGTCATGAAGGGGGCCATAGTTCCCCCTTGCTGGCTCAGGAATTCTGGGAGTTGAAGTCCAGAAATCATAAAAGAGCCAAGGATGCCTACCCCTGCACAAGGGGATCACGTGACCCCAGGATGCTGCAAATACAATAAATATGACAAGCGGCAGAATTTTGATCACGTGACCACGGGGATGCTGCAACGGTCGTAAGTGTGAAAAACGGTCACAAGTCACATTTTTCAGTGCCATTGTAACTTTGAAGGTCACTAAACGAACTATTGTAAGTTGAGGATTCCCTGTATTCAGCAACCATTAGCACATTTACCCCCATTGCCGCTAGCTTAGCACACACACACACACACACCCTTGTACGTTCCCCTTGTCTCTTTCATTACTTTGTGGAGTCAGCAAAAATATATTTCAGCATAATCATCCAGCTCTAAGTGTATTTTAAGCACATCTGTTCAGGCAGTCGCCCCGTCCCATGTCTACATTTGAGGTTTCGTTTTTAGCGAGCATTTCCTGGAGATTTAGCAAGCAGCGTTGCTTCCGTTCCTCTTCATGCAACAACTCTTAGCTAGCTTTAAGGCAGCAATAGCTGTAAAAGGCCAAGGAGAAGAGAAGAGAACAGAACAGAATAGAATTTGGAATAGAACAGAACAGAACAGAACAGAACAGAATAGAATAGAATAGAATAGAATAGAATAGAATAGAATAGAATAGAATAGAATAGAATAGAATAGAATAGAAAATAGAATAGAATTCAGAATAGAATAGAATAAAATTTGGAATAGAACAGAATAGAATAGAATAATAGAATAGAATTTGGAATAGAACAGAATAGAATAGAATAGAATAGAATAGAATAGAATAGAATAGAATAGAATAGAATAGAATAGAATAGAATTCAGAATAGAATAGAATAAAATTTGGAATAGAACAGAATAGAATAGAATTCAGAATAGAATAGAATTCAGAATAGAATAGAATACAGAATAGAATAGAATAGAATAATAGAATAGAATTTGGAATAGAACAGAACAGAATAGAATAGAATTTGGAATAGAATAGAACAGAACAGAACAGAATAGAGTAGAATTTGGAATAGAATAGAATAGAATAGAATAGAAGGGACCTTGGAGGTCTTCTAGTCCAGCCCCCCCACTTAAGCAGGAGAACCTATACCATCTCAGACAACAGGGTCTTCTGACCTCTTCTTCATTAGAATAGGTGGAACCTGTCTTAACAGCAGTAACTGTGAGAGGGATCTCGGAATCCTTAAGGGCACAATCACCTAAATATGAGCCAGCCGTGTGCTGCAGCTGCCAAAAAAGCCAACACAGTGCTGGGCTGCATTAACAGAGGGACAGAATCAAGATCACGTGAAGTATTAATGGCACTTTACAAGGCCTTGGTAAGGCCACACTTGGAATGCTGCATCCGGTTTTGGTCACCACGATGTAAAAAAGATGCTGAAACTCTAGAAAGAGTGCAGAGAAGAGCAACAAAGAGGATTAGGGGACTGGAGGCTAAAACATACAAGGAACGGTTACTGGAATTGGGTATGTCTAGTTTAATGAAAAGAAGGTGACATGATAGTAGTGTTCCAATATCTCAGGGGCTGCCACAAAGAAGAGGGGGTCAGGATCCAAAAGGGGTGTCAAGCTATTCCCCAAGGCACCTGAAGGCAG